TCTGGAGTGGAATTGAGCAAATGAAACTGCTTTGAAGATAGACAATTAATCCCTGCGCTCACATGCAGCTCTGCAGGAGAATCGAAGGGAGCGAACCTGCTGAGCCTGCAGTTTCATCAACTCCTTCTGGGGTAAGAAGCTTGAACTTGGCTTGAAAAGTATCCAAGTATTCTAAGCAATGTAATGGAATCAAAAAGTGACTTCTTGATGTACAGTATCCATTCAAAGTCCTCCAGGCTAGAGAGGTGTGTGTGTGTGCAAAGAAACAGATTGTCCAGATATCTGATTTCAAAGATACCTTTGGAACAAAGAACTGAAGCAAGAACCTTTGTGAACACACTCGGGGCTGAGAAAAGGTTGAAGGTAAGAACCACAAAGTAAAAATGATTGTCAAAGTAATTAACAAGCAGGTATGGCTTGTTGACTTAATGCAAGACCCAGTATGCTTCTCAGGTAGTAAAGTCCAAGTGATACTCATTGGTCCTGTAGCTCCTCAGATATCAAGTTCAGACTTGTGCAAGAGACAAACAGTGAAGGCACAAGCGTTTTTGTTTTTTTTTTTTAATGTATTTTTAATGAAGAAAAAGCAATAACTCAGAGCAAAAACCCCAAAAACTCATCTGAAGTGTCTAGGAACAAAAGAAAAAAAAAAAAAAGAAGAAGATAGGAATGTGTATATATACATCCTTTATGTTGATGAATGCCAAGTTGTCTCCACTATGTAGGGAGGCAACAATAACTGACTGAATGGATTCCATCTGAAACTGTTGAATGTGTAAAAAGGTGATCCTTCACATTCAGAATAGGACAAAGGCCCTCTTTCTTTGGTTTTGGAACTGTATGAAAAGATTTCAGTAAAACCCTCTAAACCTTTCGGCTGAAGGAACAGGAACAACCCCCCCCCCAGTTCAACTGTCCTTTAACGGCTGACCAAAGATCTAGTTGATGTGAAAGTAGGAAAGTGAAAAAAATTGAGGTGGCAAATGGAGGAAAAATTCTACCTGCAACATTCTAACCTGCTGATACTACCTCATGCACCCAAGCACCAAATGTGCAAACTTCCCAATTCTTTGCCCAGGCCATCAGACATTCTGCCACTGTTAAGTTTTGATTCAACTTGTCACCACCCAAGATGAAGCTGGTGGACTTTCATGGTGAAGCAAATTTATCCGTGGGTTTTGAGTTCTTGGATTGCATGGGTGTCTTGAAGTCCTGGAAGCCAAGAAGGTGTACGAAGACTCACAATCCAGAAAGTGGAACTTGACCTGGAGGTAAGAAAGGAGCATTTTGATGCAGGATAGGAATGTATTCCAACCTGTGCCGTTGATCCCTAATTTTGAGTAGCTGGGGAGTGAGTATTCTTACACCTTGTAGCCTCTTTATTGTTTTCATCCAGTGAAGAGCCAAAAAGAAGGTCTCTCACAAAGGGCAGCCGTAACAAGCATTTCTTACAATCTTGCTCTGCTGACCAGCACTTAAGCCAGATCACTCTAAAATCTGAACAGAAGGGATGCCCAAGACAAAACACAACTAGCATAAAGTGTTTTCAGACAGCCATAGTACAGTCATCATAAAGTGAAGATCAGCACCAGCAGATCTCTATTTAGTGATTTAGGCCAAGTAGCCAAGTCTGGGAAATAGAACAGTGACTAGCAAAGTTGAAAGGCTGATCCTACCTCAAATGGATGGATAAATGGAGAAAGTGCTTACAACTTCTTGTCTGTAGATTTCTTAAAAAGAACGCATATGACTTTTATGAATGTGTTCAGTTCCCCTGAGGACAAAATACAAGTAGTATTTTTTTTCCCCTCTTCATGGGAGCTATGGCCAGCTGCAAGGTTGGACAGGGCACCCTGCACCAATACCACCAATACACCACCCCCCACCCAAGGGCTAGCAGCTAAACACACAGCTAGAAAGGAGATGGATGCTTTGACAGACGGGACTTTTCTCTGCACTTGTCTGGAACATTTAATCTGATATATGCTCATCCCCTTACATTCCTTGTAAGGAGCTTATCTCAAGGCAAGTGCTTGAAAACACAGAAAAGTGTCATATGTTAAAGCAGCTGTCTTCTTGCTAGCTGCGTTGTTGGGACGGTTGGGAGGGGTGTGCTCTGTTCGACCTCACAACTAGCCTTAGACAACAACTAGAAAGACAGGACCAAGTTGATCCCTGCTAAACAGAACACATTAATTCAGATTAAAAAAAAAACTTCATTAACCACTTCAAGTCCAGACACTTTCACCCCCTTCCTGTCCGGGCCAATTTTCAGCTTTCATTTTTTTGAGACAGATAAAACTTAATTTTGGTTGTATTTATTCACCACTAGGATTTTTATTTTTTTGCTATGTAAATGAAAAAGTCCAAACATTTTGAAAAAAAAAAAAAAAGTGTTTTTTCTTATAAAATTTAGCAAATAATCTTTCTTCATAAATCTTGGCCAAAATGTATTAATTTATCTTTTTAGTAAAAAAAAAATAACCCAAGTTAGTTTATAGCCAAAAATTATAATTTTAAAAAAAATGTTAACATTTTTATATTATTATTTAAGTTTATTTTTTTTATTTTTTTTAAACATACCGTCACTCTAGCAGCACAGTGTCACCATAGTGACACTGTACTACTTGTGGGGGGTGATGAAGATTTTTTTTTTTTTTTTACACTGATTGCTTTTACAGCCTTTATGGGTGTAAAAGCAATCATTTCTCCTTCTCTCTGGCTGCATTCTTGCAGCCATTGTAAATACTGTGAGAGCTGTGATTGGTCACAGTTTGTCACATGGTACAAGGCTGTTGTGAATAGCCTTGTACCATGTGACCTCTGTGATCATTCACAGATTTCACAAGTAGCAAGCAGTGATATCAGGAAGTGACATCTTACTTACTACTATTCATGTGATCACTGATTAACCAATCAGTGATCACATGAATTAGGACCTCACACAGAGGTCCAGTACAGCGATCGGTATTCTCCGGACACAGCGGGCACCAGATCGCGGTGCCGCGCGCTCCTGGGGAGTGTGTACAGGCAGTGAATGAGGAGGCCATTTATAAATGGCCACCTGCTCCTGCACTGTGGTTAAAGGATTGAACATCTTTGATAGGGATAGTCAATCAGTCTTGATGTTAGAGAGTCAACTGCAGAAGGAGTGGACCATTCTTTGCCAAAATCTTCCAGAAAGGGATAGTGTCTGGAAGGAAAAGAAACTGCATGTCCAAGAATTTCTGATCTTTGTAAATAAACCTATCAGAGTAAAACCCTTTGCAGTACACTCTGATTTATGAAAACCAAGGCTAGCCATCATAGTTGTAAGAAACAATGAAATCCTCTAAATTTTAAAGTGGAACACACAGCCTCTATTAAAAAAAAGAAACAGTTTGCTGCTGGTTCTGTGACACAAACCTTGACAGAACTTTAGCTGATGGGGTCTCTTCCCAGAAGTTCTGGCCACAGGATACAAACACTGGGGGGAACTGCAAATAATAGTATGAGCAAAACAAATAGTGACTGGCAACCAGCAAAAATACATTGCACAAGCAATAAAACAGGAAAGATCAAGTCCGCTAGAGTTTAATCACAGTACCCAGCCTGTTTTGACAATATTATCAAAGTGCTCTTTTCTTCAGCAATTTTCCATTTTGAGACAGCTGGTGGTTCGAATCCCCAGCACAACCAAATGTAACTGAATGTATTCATGAATTTGAAAAGGTCAGAGATAGGAGTCCTGGTCCCAAAACTCAACAAGGAATTCCCAGGAAAATACTGGCTTGACCTCAAAATCAGAGTTTTGTGATAGCTGGAACACAGAAGAGGATGTCACCAGTGGGAATGCAGGACTGTTGCAAAGAGAACACCAGTATGGAAAAAACTGGGAAAATCTGTATTCGCTGGTTGGCTGGAGAAGCATCCACGATTTTAAATATCAGGCAGAAAATTCACCAGCAGCAGCTGATACTAGAAAATCTTCAAAATTAAGCAAATAATCTAGCAATGAGGCAGAAGAATCCTTTCTCATGATGAAACTAAGCAGTTGATTTACTAAAACTGGATATTGCAAAATCTGGTTCAGCTGTGAATGATAGTCAATCAGTTTCTAACTTCAGTGTTCAATTAGACCAAGAAACAGAAAATGCAAGCTGATTTGTTTCTATGCAGAGCTGCATTAGATTTTTCACTCTCCAGTTTTAGTAAATCAACCCCTTAGTGTAATTGGCAAAGTGTGAGGTGATAGGGGTTAAAGCCTTAAAAGAGACAGACCTACAGTTTTTAAGTGCCTAGTGTCCATTTCTCCTGTGGAAGGCAGTGTAACTACATTATTTTTACCATCAAGCTGTGTCCCTGAATGGACTATAAAAAAAAGAAGCATTTAACCCTTGCAGTGCAAGGGAAGCTCCATTGAAAGGGTAATTTTTTTTGCTGAACTTCCCAAAAAAAAATCAGTTTCAACCTGTGGTATAAATTATTATTTTAAGCCCTAAAATCCAGTCAAGTTCCAGATGGAAAATACACTCACAGATGTCTTCTCTTTTGACATCATTTTACTATTCATTCTATTTGGGTAAATTCTAGGTGGTAGAGGAAAAGAGAAACATTGTGGTCTTACTCATCTATACTAGCTATATTATCTACACACACACAGACAGGATGTTGTATACCAAAATCCTTGAATAAGATCAAGAGTGGGCACTACATGTCAATGAAATTTCAGCTGTTTATCCAGATAAACACTGTGATTACATCCGGATTTTACCAAACAATTCATATTGTCAGTACTGAAAACGTTGGTGCCTTTATAGTTTCAAAAGGTAATCTCAAATGACCTGTAATTTTCTGAATAAAGAATATAAACTGATGTACATTTTTATTAACTAGTGTAAAACACCCATTAGTTTATGCCCCATTAAGTACATAAGAGCATCCACTTTACAGATAAATAATTCAGTTTTACATCAATAGATTGCTCTGACTTATAAAGCACTCTGTGAACATTTGCTTACATCTTCCCACGTCCACCATTTCTCATTGGCAGCAATGCCAGTCTCCCTGAAATATTCCTCTAGAGGGGGCTCCAGGAGGATGACATCAAACTCGTTCTTTAGCTCTCGCAGATCAAAGGTCTCAAGGTCTGCTTGCAAATACCTATGACACAACAAACAAAAAGGCAGTGAAAATTACTACAACAATACAACAAATGAAGAAATAAAACTTTGCCACTAGATTGCAGGCTGTATGTAAAATGACAGGACAACCAAGCACCAATGGAAAAATTCCTGCCCCTTTCAAACAATACATTTAAGTGGGCCCCCTTACTTTAAGCAGGTCAGACGCATTTATACGTTTGTGTGATTATACAGTATTTCCTTCCCTTTAGCTGTGTTAAGGACAATGCAACAGATACCATCTAACAAGACAGCTCTAGGGGTCTTATACAATACATCAGCCCTAGCAGTCCATTAGACATGAAGTGAGCTGTAAATCATTCAAGTAACACATGCCTTTCTAAAGTTAACACATTTCTATCTGCTGTAACCATTCGAGTAACATGCCTTCTTTATATCCACTGGAATGACCGAATGGTTATTTCACAGTAAACTCTGTTAGAAGCAAGCAGATGTGTTTTTTGTGATGTCAAGTTTCCCAAATCCCAGCTTTCTCGGATCTGTTCTGCTTCACCAAGCTGCTGTCAGTCACCCCCGACATAAGCAAGGTGGCAGAGACACAAAATCTGTCAGGCCGTGAGATGTCAGATCGACCAATTTGCATACTATCAGCTCTCCAACAAGCAGAAAACTGTCTAGACAAATTCTGATATTTAGCAGTTCTTAAAAGTAGTCTATTATACACATAATGTACAGTCTATGATAAAAATCAGGGAAATGGAGTATATGATGAGAAAAAAAAATTATGAGCGGAGATTACCTTCAGTAAAAACTAAATACAAATCCTGACTTTTCCAACAGAAGTCAGGTTAGTTAAGCCTTGGTCCTTTTATTTATTTACTTTTTTTAATAGTTTTTATTATTTTTTCAGTATCTCAGTATTACAAAATTCAATTATCAGATTATTCAACAATACACAAAAAACTGTTTCCTTTTCTCCTTGCACCCAAAATCCCCCTACCCGATCCCAGCCGTACCCACCCAACCTCCACTACCCATTTAATTTCCCCGTTCCTTCTTCTTTCTTTATTATCTTCAGGATCTCCCTCTCTTCTTCCCTATTGTCCTGCCTCCTGTTTCCCATCTTTTTTATACGTGTCCTCATTTTCATCATTCTCTAATCCTACCAATTCCGCATATTTATTTGATCTTTTAAACCCATCCAACTTTTCCCATCTTTTTTTAAATCTCTCCATTTTGTCTTCTTCAATATGGTACAGTTCCTACATCCTATAAATATAATTTACCCTTTTAATCCAATCTTATTTTCAGTGCCTCCCGCTCCTGACAGTATTTGGGTATCAATCCCTTTTCTGCGTTTATTAGGTGGAATATCATCAGGTTTTTATATTTTTCTACTGTAACCTCAGTTATGTGGAATAAGCATATGCCCGGATCTTTTCGAGATATTAGTCCCCCAAATCTCTTGTATTAAGTGAATTATGTCCTCCCAATATACCTGTATTTTGGGGCAATCCCACCACCTTAGATTGTACACCCCTTGAGGGTTAGGGACTGATGTGAATGTACAATATATATGTAAAGCGCTGCGTAAATTGACGGCGCTATATAAGTACCTGAAATAAATAATAAATAAATATATAAACCCCACATCCCCTCCAACACATTGGTGATTTCTCTACATATTGCAGGTGTGCCATACTCTGCATATTATACCACCTGGTTAGGCATTTATAATTCATTTCCACCACCTTCATATCTATAGCCCTGTGCATTTATGGAAAAAAAATTTTTTTTGTTGCTCATTGAATGAGATTCCAAGTTTTCTTTCCTATTTTTCCATATACAATGGAGAGATCGACCCTGTTATTGCAGTAAAAATTTTATAGATACAGGATGTACCAGGTTCCCGAATCTTGCTTGCACTAAACAGTTGTTCAAATGGGTTTAAATTCTCCATTGTCCTTAATGTCTTTGGAAGTGTTGCAACAAAATGACTTAATTGAAAATATCTCCATTCATCTAACATGAAAAACACCTTTTTATTTTTAAGCTCCTGAAAAGGGACATAATTCTCCTTTTTTCATTATATCTTTTAACTGTGCTTTCCCTTTCCTTATCCATATACCAGAAATCTCTTCCTTCCCAGGTTAACATCCCATTTGTGAATTCTTTCCCAAACCTTAATTACATTCTTTGTATAAGTGCTCGTACCTTCAGCCAATTTACGATACTGCTGTGGCAACCAAACAATCCTGTCTGTGTCTCACTTAATGTATTTTCTAGTGGTGCACCAAAATTAAAATTCTGGTGTTGAAAACAAAACTTCAAAATGCACTTGGCCAAAAACCGAAACGCGCAGTTTTTAAAAATGAATATATATATTTTTTGGAAAAAAATACACTGATTAAAAAACAAAAAAAAAAAAAAAACAATATATACCCCATTTTTATGCAAAATATGAAAGAGGATGTTACAGCAAGTAAATAGATACCAAACATGTCATGCTTTAAAATTGTGCATGCTCGTGGAATGGCGTGAAACTGTGGTACTTCCATGAGTGATGCTTTAAAGGTTAGCAGTGTAACGTTACAGAGGAGTTCTAGTGCGAGAATTATTGCTCTTGCTCTGACGTTCGTGGCAATACCACACGTGTGTAATTTGAACACCATTTACATGTGGGTATGGCCTACATATGCGTTCACCACTACGTGCGAGCACGGGGGGACAGGGGCACTTTAAACTTTTTTTTTTTTATTATTTAACAATTTTTGATTTTTTTTTGCACTTTTCCTTTAAAAAAATAAAATAAAAATGTAATCACTTTTATTCTTATCACAACGAATGCATGCATCCCTTGTGATAGAAATAATTAGGGACAGGTCCTCTTTATGGAGAGATATGGGGTCAATAAGACCCCACATCTCTCCTCTGCAATGTAAAGCACTGGATCAAAAAAAAAAAAAAAAAGCATTGATGTAGTGCTTTAAAAAAAAAAAAAAAAAAAAAAAAAAGAAGAAATGGCCGGAAGGGGAAGTGACATCGCTCCAGTCCTCCAAGAGCATAGATAGAGAGTGACGGCCATCTTTCCTTCACTCATCTCTATGCCCAGCGTCAGGAATGATGGTTTCTCATGTAAGGCTGAGAACTACCGTGCAGCGTTCGGTGGCGGCACGCAGGTGAGGTTTTTTCGGCACCTATATGCGTGCTTTTTTTCATTTCGGCCTACGGCCAAAAGGGGTGTTTTTCGGCTGAAACGTTTCAGCCACCAAAATTTCGGTGCATCCCTAGTATTTTCTATCTTAACCCAACTTTTCCCTATTGCATTATATGTCCAATCAAAAATACATGACAACAAAACAGAACAATAATATCTCTTAAAGTCCGGCACGCTTAAGCCCCCATTTTTTTTTAACTCTACACAGCACTTCATAACGTATTCTCGCTTTTTTTTGTTTCCCCAAATGTACCTCAATATCATTCTCTTAATCACTTTAAAATTGACACCGCTTCCTGGAAACTGTATGGGGTAGCATATGAAATTTATATAAGATTTTTGGGACAATTATCATTTTTACTAAGTTTATCCGTCCTATCCAGGAGTGTGGTCCAACCTCATTTCTCAGTTTATCCTTTTTATAATTTATTAATGGGATGTAGTTTATTTTATATACTGTAGATTCTTGGGCGACGAGATGTTATTCCCAGATATTTTAATTCTCTCTTTCCATGCAAGGGGGAATTTTCTCTGTAGACTTTTTTCAGTTGTCGGAACATTGATGTAAGAATCTCTGATTTAGACGGGTTAATTTGAAAATCTGATAAATCTCCATATTGTTTTCATTAATCTCATTAAATTAGGTAGTGTCAGCCTAGGGTTTACAACATAAAATAGCATATCATCAGCATATGCTGCCACCTTATGTTCTCTCTCTCCTATCTGTTTCCTTTTTACATCTAAACTGTGTCATACTGTTGCCAAAAGAGGCTCTAGAGATATAACAAACAACAGGGGCGAGAATGGATACCCCTGTCTTGTCCCGTTATACATTTTAAAATACTCTGATAACGAACCACTGACCATTACTGCAGTTGATGGGTTACTATAAAGATTTCCAATCCATTCTCTCATTTTTGGACACCTTCCCAGAACCCTTAGTGTATCCATCATGAAGCCCCAGTCTACCCCATTGGAAGCCTTTTCAGCGTCAACCGACAGGATCAACACAGGAAGTTTATCTCTCTTACTTTTTTCTAAGAGGAATAATGATCTTAGCCCATTGTCTCTTCTCTTCCTCCCAGGAACAAATCCCACTTGATCTAAAATGAATCCACTCTAGAATTAATGTTTTCAGCCTAATTGTCAGGACTTGAGTATAATTTCGTATCCGAATTTAACAGTGAGACAGGCTTGTAGCTAGCACATTGGGTCCCAACTTTCCCCTCCTTCTGTATGATTGTAATTGGTGCTTGCAATGATTATTCCCTCATTTCCATTCCCTCTCCTAGTATATGTATATATGTACACAGTTTAGGGACCAATTGTTCTTTACATTTTTTATAATATCTCACAGTATACCCATCAGGCCCAGGGCTCCTCCCCCTGGCTGTACGCTTCAGCGCCAACTGAATTTCCTCCTGTGTTATTGGTTTCTTTAGAAGAGCTAAGTGTTCCTCTCCCAGTCTCGGTAATCCCGCCTATTTTAAATAGTTCTGTCTTTTTCTAATTCTTTCTTCTTCTCCTTTTGACTTTTTCGAGTTCACTTCATACAACTTCCTATAATATTTTTTTAATACATTCGCAATATCATTGGTTGAATACACCATTTCACCATTAACGTTTTTAATTTTCTCTATAAAATTCCTTGATTTATTATTTCTCAGCGCTCTCAATAAATATTTACGAGGTCTATTCCCCCCACTGATATCTTTCTCTTGCCATCCTATTAAATATTCTCCACGATTCTTGCTCCATTAAGCTACTTAGTTGTTCCCTTTTTTGATCACTTTCTGTTGTAT